GTATTGCTCTGCAAATGAGGATATAACCAGAAATCCTGCCACTATGCTTACTGGTGGACATGACTGTTCTTCTCCAATGGTCCTTCCCATTTTTGTGGAAACCAAACTTCTTAAACCCTTTTTGGGTATACATCTGACAACCGATGCAAAACTCCTATATGGGAAAACTATGCCCTACCACTATCCTCCATTAAGGAGGATCTTGAGAATTGGAACAAATATACCTTTACTTGTCCAGGTAGAATATACATCATAAAAATGGATGGTCTGCAAAGAGTATTATTCTTCATTCTGACGTTTCTAGTTATGCTCCCTAAAACCACTCATTTGAAATGACTACTACTCTGACATGAATACCCAGACTGGCCTACCACATTCTCACTAAACCCAAAATAAAATGAGGCTTTCAAAACTTTACACCTATTACAAGGCATATGTCCCAGTCATAAACCTTAACTGGTGGTTAGTGTTGAACTGAATACACCTAAGTTTGGTTCGAGTAGGGTTCGGTGGTCATGTGTAAAGTTCGGGAGTTGAATCCAAATCACATTGAAGTCAATGAGAGCTAAATGTTAGGAACCAATTCTGTCCATTTTCTCAGGTAAGAGGCAAGGGATTGTCAAACAAATTGCATGGTAGGCTGGGCATTGCCCCAGGGGGCATGTACCATAGCAAAAAAGAGTCTGGTATAGAATGTAGGAGGGACCTCATGCTGCTTTCTGGGTTTTTGGGGGTGGGGACACCCTTAAAATTCATACCAGACCTAAGGGCCTGGTATGAGTTTGTAGAGGGACACCCAAACCCCATACCACTTTTTTAAACTATTCCTGGTTCTTTTTTTTGCATGGGATGCTCTTCATTTATACCAGATCTTTATCCTAGATGAGAGTCTGATATACAGTAAATGTTAATGGGGGACACCCACACAAAAAAATGCACATGAGGTTCCCCTATATTCATACCAGATGCTTCAGGTCTGGTATGATTTTAAGGGGGACCTCATCAGACCCTCCACAAAAGCAGCAAGAGGTCCCCCTCTAATTCATTACCAGACCAAAAGGGTATAGTATAGATTTTAAGGGGCTACACCATGGCAGGAAAGTGTCTGGGCCCCACCTCCTAAACCATACTAGGCCCCATGCCCTCATGATTGAGCCCCTCCTGGCATTGTTCCCATGTAGATGAGCACAAGAGCTTCTTCCCCACAAGCCTGACCCAGTGGTTGTGGGGGGTATGCAGGTGTGGGCTTACCGGAATCTGGAAGCTCCTCTTAACAATAAGGGGCACCCAAACCTAGAATATAACACAGACAATTTTTGACAAGTTTTTTTATTACAGAAAACAGAAGTCCCATGATGTACATCCATAAAAATCATGATGCCTGAAGCCCACCAAAAGAAATGTCCTTAACCTGAGGATGCCATTCACCAAATGAAAGCTCCCCAAGCTGTCATTGGCATTATAACAGAAGGGGCAGTTATAGTGGTGACATAATTAACCACTTGCCATCCAGAAGATTTGCCCCCCTTCCAGACCAAGTCATTTTTTGCGATACAGCACTTTGTTATTTTAACTGACAATTGTGCTGTGATGCAACACTGTACTCAAATGAAATTTATGCCCCTTTTCCCCACAAATAGAGCTTTCTTTTGGAGGTATTTGATCACCTTTCTGGTACATATACTGGAATTTGTTTTATTTTTTTTTATACTAGTAATGGTAGCGGGACTGCAATATTGCAGCGGACATTTTTACACTAACTGACACTTTGTGAGAACCAGTGACACTAATACAGTGAACAGTGCTAAAAATATACACTGATCACTGTACTAATGACACTGGTTGGGAAGGGGTTAACATCTAGGGTGATCAAAGGGTTAACTGTGTGCCTAGCTATGTGCTTGGTGTACACTAGGTGGTGCTTTTACTATGGGAAGTGATTGATCGTGTTTTTAGCTCTGCAGAGATACACGATTCATGACTCCCCCTGTCACAACAGAACTGCATCTATGTAAACATAGATACAGCTCTGTTCTTCCTCCCTGACCGACGATCTGCAGGTGGCGGCAAGCAGCTGCTTGCTGGGGCTTGTAAATCGGTTTGTGCTGTGACATTTCACAACAGAAGCAATCCTCTGGCAGCGCAGAAGTGCAAAATCATGTATTTATGTATTATCAAAATGGGGACAAGGTATTTTGGGGGGGGAGTCCCCCGGCCCCAAAGAACCCCCCCCATGTTGAGGGCATGTGACCTGCTATGGTTCAGGGGGGTGCTTGCTCGTCCCCCCTTTTTCCTGACCTGCCAGGCTGCATGCTCGGGAAAAGGGTCTGGTATGGATTTTGGGGGGAACCCCATGCCATTTTTTTAATGGGGGTTCCCTTAAAATCCATACCAGACCCAAAGGGGAGGGGGGCCCCACACTGTTTTTTGCTTAATATTTAATTGACTGCAATTCTTATTTTTACATTTGCCCGCGGCGGTCACCCACTTTTTTTTCAACCATGACAGTTACTGACAGCTACCAGTACATACCGCATGCCTCAACCACTACTTAATTACCACATGCATTTAATTATTTATTTCCTTCTGTTAATTATTATTATACAGGATTTATATAGCACTAACAGTTTGCTCAGCGCTTTACAATATAAAGGGAGACAATGCAGCAACAATACAGTTCAATACAATAGGGTGAGGAGGGCCCTGTTTCTTGGAGCTTACAATCTAAGAGGGAGGGGCTGGTAGTACAAAAGGTAATAATTGTGGGGGATGGACTGGTAGGAGGAATAGAAGATTACGTTATTAGCTGAAGGCAGGATAGGCTTCCCTGAAGAGATAGGTTTTTAGAGATCGCCTAAAAGTGGGCAGAGTAAGCGATAGTCTGATAGATTAGGGTAGAGAGTTCCAGCGGATGGGGGAGGCTCTGGAGAAGTACTGGAGATGAGCATAGGAGGAGGAGACAAGGAAGCTAGAGAGCGGGAGGACATGGGAGGAGCGGAGCGGACAGTTTGGGTGATATTTGGAGACAAGATTGGTGATGTTAATTTGGGGCAGAGTTATAAATGGTTTTATATGATATTGTTAGTGTTTTGAATTTTATTCGTTGGGTAATGAGAAGCCTGTGGAGGTATTGGCAGAGAGGGGTGGAGGACACTGTGTAGAGGCCAGTAGAGGTATTGGCAGAGAGGGGTGGCTGATACAGAACGGATAGTAAGGTGGATGAGTCTGGCAGCAGCATTCATGATAGACTGAAGAGGGGATAGCCTGCGATTAGGTAGGCCAATGAGGAGGGAGTTACAATAGTCAAGGCGAGAGATAACAAGGGAGTGAATAAGTTGCTTAGTAGTTTCAGAGGTTAAGAACGGGCGTATCTTGGAGATGTTGTGGAGTTGAAGTGACTTAACCTCCTCGGCGGTATGATTATTTCCGATTTTTTGTGCAGAAATGTATGTGAAATGCATTGAAACAGCAATGTTTTACTATGTAATAATCATTTTAGAAAAATTACATTTTTTAAAAATTTCAAATTTGCTGCTGGTTCCGGCGCCCGTTCGTCCCGACTTCACAGGGACCGGAACACGGAAGCATCAGCCGGAGGAGATGGCCGGGAATGCTGCAGGGGACACATCGTGGGAGCGAAGGACAAGGTAAGTGCTGCAGGGACCCCCTGAGCAACGCCGCATGCTAAGCCCGAGTGTAGATCGGGGTTACAGCTCTTGGTACTCACATTTTACCCCGAGCTACACTCGGGAATACCGCTAAGGAGGTTAAAGGTCTTTTTATGCGGTATTTACCAAGTGTTTTTGCTATTTGCGGTAAATACTGACATAACACATGTGATTACCTATAGCGAATTGTCCCCTATATGTGGATTTGAATCCTAATTGAATATATTAGTCCTGTACAAGTAACTACTACATTCTTACATTAATTGACAAGTTCAATTTCAATTTTTAGTTCAATTTAAAATTAAAAACTTATTTGTTTTTTTCTGGAGGAGTAGAAAAGGCTTAGATCCTGTCATGTTATATTGACTATTTCCCCATTAGGGACATTTACTTTCCTACATATCACCAAGTGGCAGATGCTGTGGTGTGCAAATCTAGCAGCAACAATGCTGGAAAGTGTAGGTATTGCTTGCAGCTGCTCAAGATCTGTTCTTTCTAGTAACCACTATTCTTTCTGTACTTGGACTTTGTTCCGAACCTTAGGCTTCAATAAATATTACTTGTGCATAGCCTGTGTTTTATTCCAATATTGAATACCTGCCTACACTAAAACATAAGACTTGCATTTAGTTCCCTAACTTCCCAAACTTTGATGCTGTGTGTAAGAAATGACCATGCCCAAAAAAATCTATATTTTATAGCAAATTTATTTACTAAAAAGAGAAGTGTGGAAATATAAAAAATTAAAACACACATACTTAACCTCCCTGGCGGTATGATTATTTCAGATTTTTGGTGCTGAAAGCGGTACATTTTTTGCATGGAAATATTTATTTTTTTTATTGTAGGCTGTAATTTTTAAGAATAACTCACTGAAATCTGTCCGAACAAGAGTCTAGTAAACATCCCGGGTATGATAAAACTTGAAACACGAAATCATAAATTATAATTTAATAAATAATCATAAAAATAATAATATAATAATAAATTTAATTCAATAATATAATCAAACCAAAAACACTGAAATTTGAAATATAGCGACAAGTTCGCACATCACTGAGCAAAGTCGCAAAATTGTTTTCAGTGTCTGATGAGGAATTTCCCCCACGAATCATTATCACTCAATTCTGCAAGTGGTTCTGATTTACTATCGCTGTTCTCTAGCCGGTCTAAAACCGCTTTTGACCTAAAGGGACGCTTTTTGGATGCCATGGACATTTTTCAGTTTCCAGGCAGAAAGAACAGTAAAAATGCAGGCAGGGCACAGGACAAAGCACTCGGGACAAAATGTATGTGAAATGCTTTGATACAGTAATGTTTTACTATGTGATTTTAGTGATTTTAGTGAATGTCACTTTTTGTCATTTTTCAAATTTCCCGCCGGTTCCATCCCGCGTATGTCCCGACACTCGCAGGGGACGGAACCCAAATGACAGATGCCGGCATCCGCCGGATTACATTGCCGGGGACACTGCAGGAGGGACATCGCGGGAGCGCAGGACAAGGTAAGTGATCGAGAGATCGCAGAGCAGCGCCGCATTGGTAAGCCCGAGTGTAGCTCAGGGTTACTGCTTGTGGTACTGAAACTTTACCCCGAGCTACACTTGGGAATACCGCCAGGGAGGTTAAATACCTTCTGCAGCATCGATTCAATGCTGCAAGCTGTCCCCCTGCCAGTGCTAAGCCTGAGAACTGAGCAATCATGATGATTGCTCAGTTCTCAGGTTCACTCCCTGCTCTGCCCCTCCAGCATTCACTACAGTGCCGGGCAAGAGTGAGAGAGGGAGAAGATGCCTCAGGATCTAAGCGGCATGCTGAGAGTCTGAGCCAGCTGCCTGTAAGGCATTTTAGTGAATCCCAACATTATTGTTGGGATCTCTCCAGAATCTCAATCTGTTCTGTAATGTCAGCTGACAGCGGACTTTAGCCCCCTGTCGGCTGAATCTGGGTCACAGGTGCGCAGAACTAAGTGCACTCCTGTGATCCACATGAGAAGTATGGCCAAAAGAGCTTTGGCCATACTTCTTTTTTAGCATTTTTTTATGGGATTATAATGATATGTGGAAATAAATAGCGAGATTATCAGTAACCAATCTGTTCATGTCAATTCTTTATACAACATAATCTTTTTCACATACAGTTTGTGATGTGTGTTTCATTGCAGTACAAAAAATGGCCACTGCCCCAGTCTATAAGTGGCCTTCACAGCAAGGAGCACATGAAAGGTCGACGCATGTCAAACAACAAAAAAGAAAAATATCCAGCTCTAACTTGCCAGCCAGTCTGCAACAAAACCGAATTAATCTGTCTAACAGTATGCATTTAAAACAGGGGATTAGTTAGCACACATTTGTAAGCTACAGAGCTTCATCATGGCACCCCAGTATTCTGTAGTTCCTAACTCTCCAATTTTAAGAGCCCCATAGCAGAGGCACACGTATTTAATGGATAGACCACGGGCAGATGGACCTACCCCTATCAAATGGTGAGAAGTGGGTGTTGATTAATAATGTAGATATGATTCATTACCACATCATTATGGAGGTCTTTCCTTTCCACAATCAACCTAGTTAATGGATTATTACATTCCTTGAATACTTCATAAACCCATCATGGACCTAGTTAGATGGATCATGCTGAGGACTTTGCATGAATTTGTATAAACTACTTCACTGTATTTCAATAAGAAACTTTTGCTTCTGAATGAAGGACCCTATGCACCTTTTCCTGGGTTGGCTGCATATTTCAGTCCTAGTGCAACTGCCTAGATATCTTCAACATGCACACACGTCCAGGAACCATAAATACATTTTCAAAGCAACAGTAAAGCTAGCAGAAACTACAGGAAGCCTTTGTACATTGCACACATTAGTGCTTAACCACTTCAGGTCTCACTTCTTTATACCACATATGGACCAAAACAATTTTTACCTTTTTGCTATGGGTCTGTTTATTTTGTGATAACTTTGTCGATACTTAACCACTTCCTTCCAGAGGTGCACAAATATGCAGCCTCTTAGCAGGTAGCCTTTCCCCGCCGAGTGGCTGCATATATAACCACATTACTGTGCTCAGAGCGTGCTGCCTGTGTGTTCCCAGCACATTAACCAGAGGTTACTGGAAAGCTCCAGATGCATACTTGCGATCGGGAGCTTTTTGAACCTGCTACCACTGTAACTGCCAATCACAGCAGTCACTTGATCAGAATGCCCGCCTCCATTAGAAGCTGGGGCTGATATATATATACCAAGTATTAAAAGGGCAGGAGGCAGTGGCGAGAAGGGGTTAAATTAACAAAGTATTATTTATATTTTGGGACAAACACAGCTTTCTTTTGGTGATACTTTCTTACAAAATGAATATATTCTGTATGAAATCACGGATATTAAAAAATTGTAAAAAAAAAAACTATTTTTTTCTACTTTAATCAGAATAATTCCAGGCATGGGTAATTTATACATAGTTACATTGGTCCAGTTGGGATTGGGATACATTTTAGCAAGTTTATATGGTGTAATGTAACTTCAATATAATATTTTAAGTGAGCAATTCCAATGATTTGTACATTTAGTAATACTCAGATTACTGCTCAGAGCAGCATCCCATTCATCTCTAGTAAAAAACCTTCGAAGGTCTGTCTCCCATCTATGTATACTGTGGAGAATAGCGAGATCGTTATCATAATGTAAATAGTTGTAGAACCATGAAATACCTTTTTTTATTCGGACAGGGTTAGTCAAGACATGCTATAATTTAGAATCAATTTCAGTCCAAGTCTGTGGGTTCACCCTATGATACCCTCTAATCTGTAGAAGGGAGTGAAGACCTCTACTTGGAAAAGTGTTTCCCATTTCAGTAAAAGTATTGTAGCCCAAATCCTGCAGAGGTTTAGTGTTAAGATTTGGTATAAAGTATTCATATGCTGAAAGTGGTATGCCTATTTGAATCTTAGGGAAGGGGGTGTTTATTTTATTTAAGCCAAATATCCATACCTCAAGAGATGCAGTGATACAGTTGCAAGAAAAAGTATGTGAACCCCTTGGGAGTACGTGGAGTTTTGCATGAATTGGGCATAAAATGTGCTCTGAACGTCATCTAAGTCACAACAATAGAAGAACACAGTCTGCTGAACATAATACTAACAAACATTAGATGTTGCCATGGTTTAATTGCACATAACATGTAAACATTCACAGTGCAGGGAGGAAAAAGTATGTGAACCTTTGGACTTAATAACTGGTTGACCCTCCTTTGGCAGCAATAACCTCAACCAAACGTTTCCTGTAGTTGCAGATCAGACCTGCACAACGATCTGGAGTCATTTTGGACCACTCCACTTCACAAAACTGTTTCAGTGTAGCAATATTCTTGGGATGTCCGGTGTGAATCGCTCTCTTAAGGTCATGCCACAGCATTTCAATCGGGTTGAGGTCAGGACTCTGACTGGGCTCCAGAAGGCGTATTGTGTGCTGTTGCAGCCATTGTTTTGTTGAATTACTTGTATGCTTTGGGTCATTGTCCTGTTGCATCACTCATCCTCTGTGGAGCTTCAGTTGGCGGACAGATGGTCGTACGTTTTCCTGCAAAATGTCTTGATAAACTCTGGAATTCATTTTCCCATCAATAACAACAATCCATCCAGGCCCTGAGGCAGCAAAGCAGCCCCAAACCATGATGCTCCCTCCGCCATGTTTTACAGTGGGGATGAGGTTTTGACGTTGGTGTGCTGTGCCTTTTTTTCTCCACACATAGTGTTGTGTGTTCTTCCCAAACAACTCAATCTTGGTTTCATCTGTCCACAGTATATTTTGCCAGTAGTGCTGTGGAACATCCAGGTGCTCTTTTGCAAACTTCAAATGTGCTGCAATATTCTTTTTGGACAGCAATGGCTTCCTCCGTGGTGTCCTCCCATGTACTCCATTCTTGTTTAATGTTTTCCTTATTGTTTCCTTAGAATGTGTCAACAAAAATGTTAGCATGTGCCAGAGATTTCTGTAGGTCTTTAGCTGACACTCTGGGATTCTTCTTTACCTCATGCAGCATTCTGCGCTGTGCTCTTGCAGTCATTTTTACAGGACGACCATGACTAGGGGGAGTAGCAACAGTGCTAAACTTTCTCCATTTGTAGACAGTCTGTCTTACCGTGGACACATGAACATCAAGGCTTTTGGAGATACTTTTGTAACCCTTTCCAGCTTCATGCAAGTCAACAATTCTTGATCGTAGGTCTTCTGAGAGCTCTTTTCTGTGAGGCATGGTTCACATCAGACAGTGCTTCTTGAAACCAGTAAAACCAAAACAGGTGTGTGTTTTTTAAGGGCAGGACAGCTGTCAGCAACACATCCAATATCATCACACTGATTGGAGTCAAGGTTGGCTCACTCCTGGCTCCAATTAGCTCTGGGAGAAGTCATTAAGCTAGGGCCTCACATACTTTTTCCTCCCTGCACTGTGAATGTTTACATGTTATGTGCAATTAAACCATGGCAACATCTAATGTTTGTGTAGTATTATGTTCAGCAGACTGTGTTCTTCTATTGTTGTGACTTAGATGACGTTCAGAGCACATTTTATGCCCAATTCATGCAAAACTCCACGTAATCCCATGGGGTTCACATACTTTTTCTTGCAACTGTAGATGGGAGAAATTAAGCGAGGAGTCTTAAGTTGACAGATTTAGTTAATAATAGGAACTCTATTGGGGACTACAGATTGTTCAAATTGTACCCATAGTTTGTCTGACGTGGTGAACCACGCCGGAAGTTGGTTCAAAATAGCTGCATAATAATAAGTGGAAAGCACTGGAAGACTGATCCCCTCTTTGGATTTGTGTTTAGTGAGGGACAGGAACGGAATTTGTGGTTTCTTCCCTTGCCAGATATAGGATTTAATAGCCACCTCAAATTTATTGAAGGAAGCATGAGGGACAACAATCGGAATTGTTCGAAAATAGTACAGCATTTTGGGGAGAATCAGCATCTTAAAAGCCACCACTATACCTATCCATGAGGTTTCACATTTATTAAGTCGCTGTAGTTCTGCTAAAACAGATTGATATAACTTTATCTTTGAAGGTATTAGAAGCTGGGGCTGATATATATATACCAAGGTAGTCAAATTTTTTATGAGTCCTGCTATAAGGGAATTTATCTTTGAGATCTTTTAAGGGGTCCTTAGCTAAAGATATTGGTAGGGCATATGATTTTGTAATGTTGAGTTTATAATAGGAAACCGCACTAAAGGATTGCAAAGTAGATGAAATTTCTGTAAGGGAGTTCACAGGGTCGGTAACAGTAAGTATTACATAGTCAGAAAATAAACCAATTTTATGGGAGGCATCCGCAACTCGGATGCCGGAGATTCGTGGATTATGTCTAATCGCAGTTGCTAAAGGTTCCATTACTAATGAGAAGATAATAGGAGATAGTGGGCAGCCCTGCCTTGTTCCATTAGTAATGCTGAAAGGTTCCGATAGAGCATTGGACATAATTACTTGTGCGGTGAGAACAGTATAAAGTGCCATAATAGCCGATTTTATAAATCCTATTATACCATGTTTATTTAAAGTAGCGTACAAATATTGTCAATGAACCCTATCAAAGGCTTTCTCGGCATCCAAAGCCAAGAACACAGCCTGTAGTCTACGAGATTCAATTAAGTGCATCAGGTCAAGTATTCTACGGGTACCGTCCGCTGCCTGTCTGCCCTTAACAAAGCCCACTTGGTCAGCTAAGAAGGCGGGTCACTATAATTTTGGCATATATTTTGAGATCAGTGTTTAATAAGAAAATGGGCCTAAAGTTTTGGGGGCGGTCTGGGGACTTCCCTGGTTTAGGTAAAGTAACAATGATAACCTTTAACATTTCTGGTGGAAATGTGGACTTACTTATAGCTTCATCAAATGTTTGTTTAAGGTGAGGTACTAAGATGGATTGGAATTCCTTGTAGTATTCATTTGAAAAACCATTAGCCCCCCGAGAATTCCCCTTTGGCAATGCTTTAATAGCCGCAATTATCTCACTTTCAAAAATGGTCCGGTTAAGGCCTTCTAACTTTAGGTGATCTAGTGTAGGTAAGGACAGCTCATTTAAAAATTGAGTGATCAAATCAGGTGTAGGTTGAGGAGTAAGAGGGTTATCTTTAAGGTTGTATAATTGGGATTAATATTTTGTTAGGGTGATAGGTGAATGTATTGGATATGGGGTCCAAGATTGAGGATAATTTAGATTTGGCTTGTGTAGTTGCTAGGAATCTTGCTAGCATTTTGCCTGCTTTATTCCCTTGTGTGTAGAATTTAGCTTTGTTTGTTTATGTGTGAGTTCAAGTCTAGCTATTTTATAATTGTGTCAAAGAAAACTCGATTCCAATTATGTCTAGCCTGTGATGCCAACTTCAATAATAAACCTCTACAATACGCTTTATGAGCGCACCATAAATTAAATGCATTTGTGTCAGGAGAAGAATTAATAGCAAAATATTCCTCTAAGGCTGTAGTGAGAACAGAACGGAAAGAGGTATTACAAAACATGGAGGTATCATTGTGCCATAGAAATACTGGAGAGAATTTCAATGACTCCTCAATACTCAAAGAGATAGGAGCGTGGTCCGACCATGTCATCGGATGAATCTCAGCCTTAGAAATATTCTGCAGCAGTTGAACATCCATTAGAATGAAGTCAATTCTTGAGTATGATTTTTGAGGCGCTAAGTAATGCGTAAAGTCCTTTTCAGATGCATGTAGACATATCCAGGGATCATAGAGGTTGGCTTCAGTTAAGGCATGAGCTAGGGAATGTCTCAAGTAGCGGGAGGGGGTTGGAGGAATCAAGTGAATTATTGATAATAATAACGTTGAAATCTCCACAATAGAGCAAGAAACCTTTTTAAATTTTTGCCATCGTCTTCCATAGGGAATTAAAGAAGTGGACCTGGTGTATGTTGGGGGCATAGAGATTCACAATAGTATAAACTATATTGTTGATTTCACACACAATAATTAGAAATCTACTCCTACTATCAGACATCTGAGACTGCAATGAAAAGTCAACAGAGTCTCGGACAGCGATTAAGACACCGCACTTCTTATCAGGACCATTGGATGTAAAAATGTGTGGAAACAGGCGATGCGAGCAGTGCGGTGCTTTAGAGGATGAGAAGTGTGTTTCCTGAACACAAATCACATCACCATGTAGCCGTTGAGCTTCTTTCCATAACATTTGGCATTTGAAAGGACTGTTATGCAGGCCATAGACGGGTTGGTTATCGGCCGAATTTTCATCCACACAAAAAATCAGCCGATAATTAGGCCGTTAGTGGGGCCAGCCCGTCGGCCATTTTTCACAGATCTCCTCATTTATTTTTATCTGTCATGCTGGAAAATCTGCGAAAAACGGCAGTTTTTCGTGGACATGGGTGGCTGCATCGGCAAAGGGGCCGACTGATTTTTCGTTTATCTACCGGTTTGTCTATGACCTGCCTTAAGACCATGTGCATTCAGAGAGACAATCTTTAAGACCATGAAAGAACTTGAAACTGAGAGATGTGGTCACCCTCATGTGCTAGAAGTGGAAATGGCATGTCAGGGTGTAATAGCCAAGCAGGTAATCTTACATTAACCATGGTTTTCCAGCATAGAAAGGGAAGTTTCAACCCTCCAGGGTCATCTTGAAATGTCATATTGAGATCCAGTGGTAAAAATGGTGCTGTGGCTCTGTAGAAAAACACTGAGAAAAGGGAGGAAAATTTATGAAGAAAAACAAAACGAAGGAATAACATATAAGTTCGTGTGAAGCGAATCACTTGACTGGATGGGGGAAATTGCCAAAGCATGCAGCCTAAGAATCCACTATCCAAACGCATAGCGGGTAAAACAGAAAAAACAAGAAATTGCGGGGTGATTATGTTCATTAACATCATCCTGCTACTTGTTCCCATTCCGAGGAGAACTTCCTGGGAGAGGCTTTGTTAGGCGCGGTTTCCTCGTCTGTGGGAAGAAGTCCCCAGTTTTTAGCTACTTGGAAACCGTCTTCTTCGGAGGTAACCGTAAGCACCCGGTTATCTTTCGTAATCAGCAGTTTTGTAGGGAACCCCCACTGATACTTAATATTGTTGTTGCGCAATAGTTTTGTAAAATAAATCAATTTCTTGCAAGCTATTATGGTATATTGTGAGAGATCAGTAAACAGAGAGATCCCATTATTGGGCGCGGGAAGTGGGTTGGTCTTCCGCGCAAATAGCATTATTTCCTCCTTCACATGGTAGAAATGGACTCTCGCTTCACATCCCGAGGTACATGGTCGGGGAGAAAAGAGGGCTTTGGCAGTCTATGCGCCTTATCCACATCTACCTCCCTATGCAGGGTATGCGGCAACAATGTAGATTTATTATTTGTTGAATATATTTGCGGAGATCTGTGATGGGAGTATATTCGCCAATCCCCCTGAATTTTATATTATTTCTACTGGAACGGTCCTCCAGATCTGCCATTTTCACTTTTAAGGCTTTCAGGTCTTCCTCAGCCTCGTTATAGCCATCTACTAATTCGTTATGAGCAATAGCGAAGTCGCCCATTTTAGTTTCCACATGGGACACCCGCTCCCCCAGATTTTCCTCTTCTGTATTGATTTGTGTCACAAAGCTCATCATATCTTTATGTAGGGACCCTTTAAGGGTAACTAATTTCATAACTGCAGCAGTAAGGGGCATAGATTCTGCAGGATAGCCCTCCAGATGTTCTATAAATTCTCTCATAGTGTTTTGTGAAAAGGAATCATGAGATTGCTCACCCGCATGTTGCACATCTGGAGAGTACTTCTGTTTGTTCTTCTGAGGGCTGCATGTTGGTGTCCTCAGTGCAGGTTCTGCCATCACTGTATGCACAGCAGGGCTGGATGAGTGCAGAGGAGAGCTATGGCTGTCTCCCTCCTCATGTCCCTGTGAGTCCGGAGAAAAGCAGGGACTGGCGCCAATTTGAGAGGAGGGGGGACCCGCCGGAATGAAGAACTCTGTCAATTTGCGGGGTCCCTCCTTTATCTTTCTTTTCCCCATCATAGGAAACAACGTCCCACACCACCCGGAAGAGCACAGTGTTATTAGTGGGTTTTCAAATAGCTGCAGCACTCAGCGGCTCACAGAGCTCTCCTGCTATGTGGCCATCGACCCCCCCCCCGAGATATATATTTCAATGCCAGACAACTAACTTCAAAAACTTCAGAAATTCACTGTATTGTTTATTCTATGTACTAAAAAGTAGAAAAATATTTTTTTTTTTTTATTTTTCAGTGCAGTATATCTGACACCCTTTAAGGGCCCCTTCATACCATATTACCTATAAAAATGAACTGAAAATGCATGTGCAGTAACAGGAATTTGCATGCATTTTTATGCACATTCAGCTTGATTAACTAAGACTAGAGAGTGCAAAATCTGCTACAGCTCTGCATATAAGCCAGCTTCATTTTTTTTTGTCAAAGCTTAATTGAAGCTGAAGTTAGAAGCTGATTGGCTGCCATGCACAGCTGCACCAGATTTTGCACTCTCCAGTTTTAGCAAATCGACCCCATTTTGTTGCATTTATATGCATTAACATGTTTTGGGGTATGAACCAGGCACATAGTAATCCATTGTGTTTTATGTGCCCTTGCAGTGACCCAAGTTTATCCAGTGCAGAAAATTGCAGGTCACTGGACATGGTGTGAACAAGCCCCAAAAGATAACCACACTTTAACCACTTCCCGCTGGCCCATGTACATAAACGGCCGGACGGGAGCAGTGCAAGAGAGGGTGGCCGTTTATAAACGGCCTCCACATTCCCTCCCTGCGTGCACTCCCTGGGAGCGCACGGCACCGCGATCCGGCGCTCTCCCAGCACAAAGACTGCAGTGTCACTGAGAGCACCGGATCCCGTTCTAACGATCGGGACCTAGGACTCCCGATTCCGGGTCACATGATCGCTGTGATAGCCTCTGATTGGCTATCACAGTAATCAGTCATTGTACAGCTCAAAATATTTTTTATTATTTATTAATTTATCTTTTTTTTTCTTTCAAACTTTTTTTTCTCTCTCTATGAATGGAGGAGAGAGATACATTGTATCTCTCTAACTCCTGGCATAGAGAGAAAAAAAAAAGTTTGTAAAAAATAAATAAAGAAAGAAAGAAAAGATACCTAGATCAAGGTTTGATCTAGTTCAGGGCCAAGGTTAGTGTTTGGGTAAAGATCAGAGTCAAAGGTCAAGGTCAAAAGGTCAGGGTCAAAGGTCAGGATTTTTTTTTTTTTTTTTTTTTTTTTTTTAATGGTATCAGTGTCAGTTAGTATCAGTGTCAGTGTGTTTTAGGTATACAAAGACAAAACAAAATGTGCACTATTGTTTCTGGGCTGTACTATGGGTACAAACAACAAATAACATACACATATATGCTATCTCTGCATTCGTCAAGAGCTGTAGAATTTATTTTTGGTTGTTCTTTGGTGGTAGGTTATGGTAGTAACATGAAACACACAGCTAATTAAAAAAAAAATTTTCTTATTATTTTTGGCCAGTTTTCCTTTGATAATAAAAAAAATCAGGAGATATCCATAAACATTTACCACCAAATGAAAGCCAAATTTGTCCTGAAAAAAAAACAAGGTATAATTCATGTGGATGTCAACTTATCAAAATTGTGCTTAGGCATTTAGATTTGTTTTACCCTTAGGCAGGAAGGGGTTAAACTGGTAAGAATGTGAAAGTCTCCTCTGCAATTGATAGTGTCAACAGGGAGTGTAGATAAAAGCTGGCCATGGATGATTTGAATCATGGATGGGCAGGTTGATTGTACCCAAGTTTATTGTTGTACAACTAGCATGCCAGATTTTACATTCAATTAATAACCACTAGCAGTAATTACTGTGTTCTCCAGGAAGAGAGGGCTCCCCCTGCTCCCCCACAGTGAGAACACAATAGCTCAGCGGGAGGGGGTTTACCCATCAACACTGACTATGTTCCAACATGTATGTTGCTGCTTCAGGTGGGTCCACCGCACAGTCCCTTACACCACCTGTGTATTCAGGTGCAAGTTCTGCTCATCCAGCCATGTGGAACAGATGCAATGGGATCCAAAGGACTGCACACTTGAAAACTGCATCCACTTTATTGGTAATCTTTTAAACTCCATATACAGCAACAGTAGACACCATGGGAGCAAGGAAACACAGTCAATTTGTTTCAAGCTGCTGGCGCTTATTCATGACTGCATTGTGTTTATGATCTTATTGAGTGATTTGCAGGAAAGAAAATTGCATAATTCATGGCCTGTCACATATACAGGTAAAACTCAAAAATTTTTAATATCATGCTAAAGTTCATTTATTTCAGTAATGCAACGTAAAAGGTGAAACTAATATATGAGATAGACTCATTACATGCAAAGCAAGATAGTTCAAGCCGTGATTTGTCATCATTGTGATGATTATGGCTTACAGCTCATGAAAACCCCAAATCCACAATCTCAGAAAATTAGACATCCCACAGATGTACAGATCTACTGTATATATATATATATGTGTGTGTGTGTATATACTCAAAATACAAATGGTGTGTGCAGCTGAACAGCTTTGTAAGACATAGATTTTCATCTATACAAATTATTCTTAGATGTGCAAAAACAGATAAATCTACTCCAAGGCCTTTGCAGAAAAAATTGCTTTAAGTGCATATACAAAAGACTTTACCCCTTCATATGGCTGCCAAAGCACAATAACCGATGCCAAAATGTAATAGTGTGTGCAGAGTGGGGTTTATTTATTGCTTGCAAGTCCAAAACAGAAATTTGTTTATATATATATGATTTCCTAACTAGTAATTGCCACGTGAACCTAACTATGAAATTTGGTATTCATTGTGTACTGTATCTTTGGAAATTACTTGCAAAGTTTCACTCTCCAGATAATATTGCTTTCTGTGGACTGTTGATTAAAATAACAGTACAGATTATTTTTTTAAGAAACAAAATAGTTAATGTTAGTAAGAATTCACTTTTTAACTGTGGCAGATAATTACTTGTATTATATTTATCATTAGAGATGAGCGAATTTTTCAAAAATTCGATTCGGCTGATTCGGCGAATTCCAGGAAGAAATTCGATTCGATGCGAATTAATTCGCTACGAAGTTAACTTATAAAAAGGGTTTCTAGGCTTCAGAGAGCCTTTAAATTAGTGCAGAACACTGTACCTTTAATTTAAATGCCCTTGGAGATGAGGAAGGAGAAGGAGAAGGAGAAGGATGAGAAGAAGGAGAAGGAGAAGGATGAGAAGAAGGAGAAGGATGAGAAGAAGGAGAAGGAGAAGGATGAGAAGAAGGAGAAGGATGAGAAGAAGGAGAAGGATGAGAAGAAGGAGAAGGATGAGAAGGAGAAGGAGAAGGAGAAGGATGAGAAGAAGGAGAAGGATGAGAAGAAGGAGAAGGAGAAGGATGAGAAGAAGGAGAAGGAGAAGGATGGGAAGAAGGAGAAGGAGAAGGAGGAGAAGGAGAAGGAGAAGGATGAGAAGGAGAAGGATGAGAAGAAGGATGAGAAGAAAGATGAGAAGAAGGAGAAGGATGAGAAGAAGGACAGTTCTGTGACAGTTTCTGTCTATTTCTGACAGTTCTGTGACATTCACTCCATACAGCGGTTTCAACCGCTGTATGGAGGGAATGTCCCAGAACTGTCAGAAATAGTCTATTTCTGACAGTTCTGGGACATGTATGGAGTGAATGTCCCAGAACTGTCAGAAATAGTATATTTCTGACAGTTCTGGGACATTCACTCCATACAGCGGTTGAAACATTGTATCTATTTGTTTCCATAAATGGATCCATTTATGGAAACAAATAGATACAATGTTTCAACCGCTGTATGGAGGGAATGTCCCAGAACTGTCAGAAATAGTCTATTTCTGACAGTTCTGGGACATTCACTCCATACAGCGGTTGAAACATTGTATCTATTTGTTTCCATAAATGACATTCTGCAGATACACTTAGAGGAGCTCTGCAGATACACTTTTTGCCGGCTTGGAATTATTCTTATTTTCATCCTACTTCTTCTTCTTCTTCTTCTGAGGATGAGGATGAAGAAGAAGAAGAAGTAGGATGAAAATAAGATTAATTCCAAGCCGGCAAAAAGTGTATCTGCAGAGCTCCTCTAAGTGTATCTGCAGAATAGAGGAACTCTGCACATACACTTTTTGCCGGCTTGGAATTATTCTTATTTTCATCCTACTTCTTCTTCTTCTTCTTCATCCTCATCCTCATCCTCTTCTTCTTCTGAGGATGAGGATGAGGATGATGAAGAGAAGAAGAAGTAGGATGAAGTAGGATGAAAATAAGATTAATTCCAAGCCGGCAAAAAGTGTATCTGCAGAGCTCCTCTAAGTGTATCAGCAGAGCTCCTCTAAGTGTAGAAGAGAATAGAGGATGAAAATAAGATTAATTCTGCAAAAAGTGTATCATACACTTTTATGCCACATACACTTTTTGGCTTGGAATTATTCTTATTTTCATCCTACTTCTTCTTCTTCTTTTTCATCCTCATCCTCATCCTCTTCTTCTTCTTCTGAGGATGAGGATGAGAAGAAGAAGAAGAAGAAGAAGTAGGATGAAAATAAGAATTCCAAACCGGCAAAAAGTGTATGTGCAGAGTTCCTCTATTTTCTGACAGTTCTCTCACAGCTTCTTCACATGTACAGCGGTTGAAACATCTGTATCCTAAATGGAAACTAATAGATACAATGTTTCAACCGCTGTACATGTGTTCCTTCTGTCAGAGAACTGTCAGAAATAGCGGAGCTCTCTGCAGGGACACTTTTGCCGGCTGATCGGGAAAAATCCGATTCGCGCACCCGAAGTAGGCAAATATTCGGATTTTTCCTGAAATTCGTATCGAATTCCGGTTCGCCTGGTTCGATTCGCTCATCTCTATTTATCATGATACAGCCAAAGACAGTGGAGGTTTGAATAATATTTTTTGCTTATTTTCATAAACATTTATTGTTGATCGGTCACAATTCTGCTATACAAAAAGCAATGAAAACTGTGCGCCACAGGCAAAAAAAAAGGGGGGGAAACACAGATGAATGTGATTATGGCTGCTACAGTCTTCAAAATGTGTCTAACTTCCACATTCATGAACCCTCTCAATTTGTATATAGATTGCGCTGCCAAAAATGCGAATCAAGATTACTAAACAGTTTACCACATGTAAAAGTGTAATAAATAAATATATATACAACAGAAAAAAAACAAAGTAAATACCATTCAAATAATAGTTACTTAAAAAACAAAAGGTAAGTGAACAGGTGCTGGCGCCATTAGTAACACATTAGATAAACACATGACCATTTTCAGGTGCTCCAGATGATCTTCTATTACTAACTAGGTCTCACTGAGCTTTTTTGCTTGGACCAGCTGTGTATCTTGTCACCAACTTGACCATTCACATGTACCAGGATGTGATTTCTTCCTATGCAATACACTGCCACTCAAAAAACAG